GAAACGCCAAATTTATATATAAAAATTATATATATATAAATAAAATTATGTAAACAAATTCACAATACATAACATATTTTAGTCATTACAAAACATATTAAAGTATAAGTTCACAAGACATATCATAATTTAGTCATTACAAAACATATTAAAGTATAAGTTCGAAAGAGATAGCATAATTTAGTCATTACAAAACATATTAAAGCAGAAATAAGTTCAAAATACATAACATAAAATCCAGAAGTCACTGACCAGCGGCGTAAGCTTCTCCCTTTGTCGGCGAGAAGCTTATTTGGAGAGAACACTTCACCTGATGTCGCGCCCTTTGTCGGCGAGTAGTTGGCCAACCAGCTGCGTAAAGCTTCTTTGAGGGCCGTTGTCTATTGTCGATGAATATGATAGCCGCGTAACATAGAGGAGCGATAAAGATTTAGGGCCAAATAATACTTTTTATAATTTGAGTCAGTTCCAAAACTTTTAAAATTTATAAAAAGAACCCCATTTTTTTTAAAAGAGGTGTCCCTGCCTTTTCCCAAAAGAGACACGCGTGTCCCAGCCGTTTCCTTGGCGTTTTTTTCTCTTTTTTAAAAATTAAAATTACAGAAACGCCACGTGGAGTTTCCGAGACGTCTCCAGGCATGTCTGTGGCGTGTTGGCGTGTCCAAGGTGTCCGAAACGGGTACGACAGCCTATATGGAGTTTCCGTGCAACATAGGTTATTTCTCTCCAATTCATTGTAGCAAAATCTCAGACCTAGATCTTTTCTCCATCACCAATTCTTAATCCACCTTTTTATCTCTCAAATGACTCATTCTAATCATCAATCTCCCTTCTCTTTCTCATTTGTTAACCAATAAAAATTTGAAGAAAATCAACACAAAAGCAAAGCCAAGAGGGGAAGTAGTGAAAGAGGAAAGAATACCTCTAGAACTCACCCCTTCAAGAAAGAAACATGACATTGCCCGAATCCAAGAAAAAGAAAAAGAATGTCAAAGATCTTCAGTCAAACAAGCACCTCCAGTAGCCTTCTCTATGCATCTTCGAGGTCAGCAGCTACAAGCGCGTCAACCTTCTCTCTTCTTCTTCTCGGCGTTAGCAGCTACCAGCGCACGTCAATCTTCTTTCCTCTTCGTCGACGTCAGCAGCAACCATCACACGTCAATTTCTCTCTTCTTCAACGATATCTATAGCTACCAGCGCATGTCAGACTTCTCTCTTCTCCAACGATGTTAGCAGCCACCGGCACATGTCAGACTTCTCTCTTCTCCAACAACGTGAGCAGCCACCGGCGCACGTCTTACTTCTCTCTTTTCAAACAACGTCAGTAGCCACCGGAGCACGCCAGACTTCCCTCTTGTATAACGATGTCAGCAACCACCGGTGCATGTCAGACTTCTCTCTTCTCAAAGTTTCTAGCTTCCAGCTAGTGTCCAAGCTTCCTCTTGCTTCAGCCAGAGTTCAACTTGAGGGGGGATGTTAGACAATAATACTAATATTACTTCTGGTGGTATTGGTTATGCTAGTGTTTGATTATTAGTCAGCTTTCTAATCTTATTTATGGTAGATGTTGTATTTTAGTGAGTTTTCATTCTCTATTTCTAGTTGTCTTAGGAGTCCCTCCTATATATACTCTATCACGTACTCCATAATTCAATGAAAAATATTATTAATTCAATATTTCAACAGTGGCTTTGAACAATATAATAACTCAATCCTTGTGTGCGGATTATGACCTCTGCGTCTTCTGTTTCTGTCAGCATAGAAGGGAAGGCTAAAGATTAAAGCAAGTGAGATGGGAAGAGGCGTGGTAATTAACTGGTCTTTACAGTTAAACCTACAGTATTGGCCGTTAGACTGCGGGTAGTCATGGAGCCCAAAAGAGCCATTATCTGCCATGTGGCAACTAACCTCATCAAGGGGCTCCATGACAAAAAATGATGTAGTGTCTAAAGCCTAATAATTAATTACTCCCTCCGTCTCCCTAAGATGTTCTCATTTTGACTTTTGGTGGGTTTTAAGGAGAGTTGAAAATTGGTGAAAGTTTACCATAATACCCTTAATGAAAAATGGGTGGAGTGTATTAAATGAGGTGGGTGAGGTGTAATAAATAAAGTAAGTGGGGGGTAGTTGTGGTATTTTAATTGTTAAAAAATGAAATGAGAAGATCTATTGTGGACAAAGAAAAAGGGCTATTGAGAAGATCTATGAGGGACGGAGGGAGTATTTTTTTTATTTTTAATTAAATTAAATATGAGAAAAATGAAGTGTAAAGATATGACGGAAGGGAGTAAATTAAGCGGAGGGGGCATGGTTCCATACTCATAACACAACTTCACTTTTTTTCTTAAGTAGAGGGGATGGTGTTTGGGGCTTCATGGGGGGGCTTCATGGGTGGCTATAAAGCCCACTACATATAGTCTTAGGCTGGGCATAATGCCCCACCCTCACTACCCAGTGATCCGCCCTGGCAGTGCCACGTTACCGCGTGACCACGAGGAACACCCCCTCCCACGAGTCGCCGTCGTGAGTGACTTCTATGGCCAGGACCACGCTGCTCCACTCCCCTCCCCCAACGGTTGTTTAATATAAAAAAATTAATTTTAAAATTCAAATTTCAAACCCCCCCACACTCTCTTCTCTCTTCTATTTAAACCATCTAATATCTATATATTGTTAACGTACGCAATAACACATTCCCTTCTTATTTCTTTAACTCTCCTTTTTCTTCTATTATACTCAAAAGATGAATAGTTTATACACACATTCATGTACTTCATGTTTTTTTATTTATTTATCTCGTGCATTTTTTAATTCATGTAATTTATGAGTTTTTAAATTAATTATATTTTTCGTTTTTAAATGTTTAAATAAAAAATGAAAAACTAATTATTAATCCAAAATGGAAAAAAATTTAATAACAAAATAAAATAGAATAAACTTGAAAATAATATTATTATTTTATAAAAGATATAATTTAATTTGAATGGAAATAGGTATATATATAATAGAATAAAAGTGTAATTATGGTAGTGGATGTGAGGGAGTACAGGTGTGAAGTGAGTGAGATGATGGGTGCTATCATCGATGATGTGGCGCTGAGTAGGAGATTTGGAGGGAGCGGTGATGGAGCGCTACAAACAGGAAGATCTGCCGCAATTCATTACTCGGCCAAATTACACAAGTAACTGACCAATTTTAAGTGGTAAGAATTCTTGTTGCTATTATTCTATAAATAGGAAGATATTCAAAAGCAAAAGCATTGGGGAAAAAAGAAAAAAAGAAGAAAAAAATGTTTTTTTCCTGCCCAAGAGCTCATGCAATATCAACCATAGATTAACCATAGGAATATTATTCAACGATTATTGATTAAACTTTGTGAATATCCAGACATTAATGCTATTATAACTGTCGGCCGGCATGGAATAAAAGTTTTTAATGCCGCCTCGTGAATGAATTGAACAAGGGCAATCCTAGGGATACACCAAAAGAGGGTACGCCATTTGTACACCAAGCTTTCAAAGACACACAGAGACACACCATGTCGCACAAACATTACGTGTCTATCTGTGTTTGTAAAGGTTTGGTGTACAAATGGGCACTACCAAGGAAGGTTAATTTAAAAGAAATTTCACTAGATATTGGTGTACTATATATATATATATATATATATATATATATATATATATATATATATATATATATATATAGACACACACACACAAATATTTAACCAGTGCAGCGCACGGGGTGGAACGCATGTTATTTTTAATTCTGCTTATTTTTTGTTTTAAAAAAAAAAATAAAGAATAAAGGTAAATATATTATAAAATGTTAGATACGACATAAACAGAGTATACAAACTTTAAATTCATGTATATAAAAATTGAAAAGAACGTATGAATGTATTAATCAAATCACAATTTTTAAAAAAACTTCAGGGTAAACCACAATTTTGGTGCAATTGCAAGGGTTACTATTGTCATCTAAAACTAACACTTTCAATCATTTCTTAGTTTTCACTCGTGAAACTGCAACATAAATTTGACCGTGAGTAAATACCGCTTTGGTCAATAATAATCCAACAAATGATAATGTTTGGTCTTGACTCTCATTGATTATCATGCCAAAACATAAAGATATTGAAAATTGTCTTTTTTGAAACTTAAACGGTACTCCAAGATCTGACGGTATTTTAACATGTGCCATGCACGGATGGAACATATGTGTTTTCTTACTCTATTATTTTTTTCGAAGTTAATGCTTGAAAATTGAACAAATTACAACCGTGACCTCAATAAATACTTAACGAACGATATAGGATAAATATTTGCTAATGGAAATTCTTCTATATAATCACACAAATGAACATGCAAACACTTAATTTAATTCCAAACTTTTTGGAAATTTTTGGGGTACACCACATTTCTAGTGAATTTGCAAGAACTATTGTCATCAAAACTAATTCTTTCAATCATATCTTTAATTTCACTCACAAAACAATATAATGTTGTTCGTGAGTAAATAATAATTTTTGTAAATAATAATCTAACAAATGACAATGCTTGACCTTAACTCTTATTAATAGTCATAGCGAATTATAAAGATATCAGAAATTCTCTTTTTTGATACTTCAAGTGCAATTCGGGATCAAATGGTACCAAATTCATTTGCGGTATTTAAACTTTCTCCCCGACATTATTTCCTGAGACTGTAATTACAGCGATGATGTTTTTTGTAACTTTTTAATAATTAACCTTGTACCTTACACAATCCAAATGTTTGACCAACGTTTCTCAATAACATGATTGGTACTCCATTCTTCAAAGACAAAACCGGAACCATTAAAGGTTTATAGAACAAATTATTAGAAGGAAATAATACTGCCTCCATCATGTAATTTTCTTTTTAGTTTAACGTTAAGTTGAGGCAAAAAGAGCCAAGTTAAACTTGAGATTGTATTTAAAGGATATAATCTCATGTCTCCACTTAAGTTAAAAAACAAAGACTAATAGATTATCTGTTACTCTTTCAATTGGTAATTGTTTTTTAGTGGGGATCTAATAATTCTGAACTTACATTTGGAGTCAAGTGGCAGTCATGTTAGTAGCAAAACCAAAGGCCACCTCTAAGAAGGCAAAGTTTGAGAAGTCTCATTCACCAACCAAATGCATATTGTGCTCTGGTTATCCAATTCTCAATCTTGTTGACTCTGGTTGTCACCAAAATACATGCTAGAAGGATGGAAACCATTATGTTTTTGTTATGCAACATAAAAAATCTCCATGAGGAAACATCATGTTAAAAAACAAAACATTCTGAAAAACTAGTTTGGGACTGTGATGTGAAAAACTGGTTCTTGATGAGCTCTCAAAACTATTGTCTGTAAATTATTTCAGTGGTACATCTTCAATAGTTTTTAAGGCTTTAATAGATGTAGCAACTTTAGTGACAACTTCAGCAAATTTAGTATATGGTTTAAGCTATTAAATCATTAGGCAACACATAAATTGCACTCAATGCGAGGGTGCACATAGAATTCATCAGCAAGAGTAGTGTCATGTGCTATATATACCTGCATTGGCTCCATACTTATTGTTTTCAGGTTCAACCCATAAACTTGGAAAAACAAAGAGAACATGAGACAAATCTGTATTGAATTCAAAAAAACAAAGTGATTGTATGTAAAACATTTTTTTCTAACATAAATAAATCACATATTAATGAAATAAGAATATTATCTACCTTCATTCTTAAAGGTGTCCTTGGAACCAAACTCAAAATACCTGTAGCAAGAAACATTTTTTGGAGTATATTTATTCTTTGCTTCCTCTTCACTAACATATATGCATAAGAAAATTACTATTCTGTACATTTGAAACTAAAACATTAAACACATTTGAAACTAAAACATTAAATAAGATAGATTGAAATTTACCCACACTTTAAAATGTAAAAAGAACTTTGGATGCAGAATAAAATGAGAAATACTCTAAATGTGAAATTTGATTCGTACGGGGCATGATAATATAAAAAGATACATAATCAAATTAAACACTTGGTGGGAATAACATCAAAAAAAGGATTTACATAGAAAAATATTGTAATCTAAATTTTAACATGAATTTTAATTACCCATTCCAAACTCAAAACTTGAAAATCAGAACTGTGTTATTATTGCTTTCAATTGAAGTGGAAGGAGATTGAGTTACTTCCTCATGGAGTCGTGCAGTCGATGATGCTTTGTGTCAAAATAAGGCAGAAATTGATCCCAGGAATAGGGTAATGTATATCAAAATATGTAAGAATTGACTCAATATTCATTATGCAAGTGAAGTCATTTAAACACTCCTGTATGTGTATTATTTATCTCATTTAATCTAATTTCAGTTTTATATGTCATTCAACACTGTGAAAAGAATAGTAGACTAAATGTAATCCTAGGGTCCGCTTGGTATACGGAATTGATAGAATTGGAATTGAGTTGGAATTGAAATTCCATGGGAATCAATTCCATAGAATTGAACTCACCCATTTCGATTCATTTTTTGCACTATCAATTCCAAATCCACATAATTTTTGTGCTACCAAACACCAGAATTGGAATTGAAGTCCTCAATTCCAATTCCAAAGTTTGAATTCCATGTACCAAACGGGGCCTTATATTAAAAGATTACCATCCAAGAAATTAGCAATGAACATTACAAACTAACATAAAAGAGCCAAAATATGTTCTAATTCTCAATTCCATGGTAATACTGGATTAGATGCTAACTTGCCATTCAAGTTAATACACATTAATTTTTCGATTCTAGATTAAATAGCACAAAGATGAAAGAGTCATACGCCAAATTAAATCTTATAGACAATGATTCTTTCTCTACTTTTAAGAATGAAGTATGTTACTTCGTAACTTTGAATGACAAATTTGAAGGGATATGTCTTGGTAAATTTGAAAAGTAAATTTGAAGGATTACGTCAACCAAGAACAGAAATTTTGAATAGATGCATTAATTTAAATTATACTTAGTTTTAGTATACAAATATGCCTAATAAAATACATTTCTTAATCTACATGACGGAATTCACTAAGAATAAATACCAAAGATATAGATGCATATTAAGTGTGTCACCACGATTAACTTGCGTGACACAACTCTATAAATCTCAGTAGGCTTCTTATCTTACCATTTAGGAGGATCATTAAGTCATATGCAATTTCTATATGACTAACCAATGGTTGTCTCTTAGTATTGAACTTAAAGATAAACGTGGATCATCCTAATTAAAGACGATATCAAGAAAACGACAAAGATAAATTCTATGTTCGTAATAAAAAAGTACTCGTAAGAAACGTTAGAAAGGTGATAATGTTACTTAACAAAAGAAATAAACATTAGATTTTCATATTACCAAGCAATGTCCATATCCAAATTGATAGCTTCTAATGGACTGAGTGCACCCTTCCCCTTTAAATACTGATTAAGAACACCCTGTAACAGCGTGTAAATAAGTTATTACCAAAAGAAAATCCAATAATGGTGGAGAAAGGAAAATAACCCCAAATTGCGTTCAAGACTTCTCCCTAAATCCAATACAGATGGCTTTATATCTTAAGAGTTCTCCTTACAAATCTTTGTGTATATTTTTAAGATAATGGGTAGTTATATTAAGGCATAGTATAATTAATTTACTTGTGAAAGAACAATCAGAACAACTAAAAGTCTAAAATGTATAGAAGGTGGAAGAGACTACGAAGATAAATAGCTGTGGGCGATTAGGAAAAATATGAGGTGGGGACAAATTTTATAGACCTTAACTCTCCGCAGAGTAACGACCCAACTACCAAGGAAAAAACTAATAAACGGGACTGCTCTAGTGCTCGTGAAAATTAAGGTATGTAAAACTGCCTCCATAGATGTGTATTCAATTGTGTGAACACCATAAAATTTATCTGTATGGTATTCACACAATTGAAACCGAATTGGATCAAGATTTATATTCAAATACTTCTATTTGTTAAAACTTCAAAGTAGGCGAATGAGTTCGGGCTCTCAAGTTGAAATCTGTATCAAATCTGAATCCATGGCAGCAAGGGCATCCACGTAATTCTTTGCCTCGGTGCAAACATCAACAGATTGGTAATCCTTTGTGATATCTCCTACAGTGTCCTCTCTCCTCATTAAAAGGGAGTACTTCATTTCCAGGCCCAATTTAAAAAAACTATGCAAATTGTCACTTACATCAAAGCTAAAAATAGGGGTAGAAATAGCTAAAATATCACTTAACAACAATGAGAAAGTTAACTATTAAAAACTACCTTCACCTCACAAAATTAAAAATTAAGAAAAGTTAAGAAAGAAAGAAAGAAAGCAAGCAACTAATGTACCTAATCATCTGGGAATCCATCGGGATGTGATGAAATCAAAAAAGAGCTTCTGGTTTCACTACTGCGAATCTTGTAAGACGACTTCTCCCACAATTTCCAGCTCCTCCACACTATCTCCTCTTCCATCCCTTCATATACAAAAAAAATATTATTCAATTCCAGTAATTTCTACACTGCAGTAACTCACCCAATCTCTTCAATGTTATGTGATTTCTTATCGAAAATACAGGTAAAGAAAACAATCAAGATTCACCACACCATTGACCATCATAAAAGTTTATTTATTGAAGATTAAATAAAGTGCAGAATTTCCCATAACTTGACAAAAGTGGATACTGACTATTGGATTTTAGGGTGAATTTCTTGAACTTTTCTAATCCCTATTTGCTTAAAAAAGTACAGATGAATCCAACAATCATCAAACAACCTGCTACACCTCAGAGATGGAAACTTGCAAGAACCTCAAAAGAAGCAATTCCTAAACAAACAAACAAATGTTTTTAAAAGGGGCATTTTGGGTAACAAACACACCATCAATTCATGCGTGTAAATTCAAATAAACCATCAAAGTGAGAATGGATGATCAACCCTGACCTAGAATTTGTAGCTTCTTCCGGTCCCAAACCTAGCAGAGCATTGTAGGGGCCCCAAAAGGATTGATATAATATTATGACACCAAGCGTTGGTGTCAGAACAAATGACTTCTTTATAATTTTGACATTGCATTCAATAAAATATGCAGATAAAATGAGCTAATAACTTCCATTTATACAAAATTAGTTTTTGATGCATTTCCTAGAAGGTCATATTAGTAATTTAAAAAAAAGAAATATATTACAGCACATTATATCTTAAGAACATGGGCATCATTTCCCTAAAACTAAGAAAAAAAACAATGCACCTGAAATCAGAGGATGTAGGCTCCAAAGGGTTGGGCTGAGAGTCACCAACTTCTTCATGAGGCCTATCTTTTTGTTTCCCTGCAATCTCGTTTCATGAAATATTCCATATTTTTATTTGTATTTCCCAGACTAAATATTATGCTCAAACAACCACAAAAATTAAAAACGCAGGAAAGAACAAAGGCAAATTCTTAAGAACTAAACGTTACCCAATACGGTATTCTAGGCATCTGATTTCGATTCCCGGTTTTCCAATTTAAGGTCGGCTTCCTGGAGCCATTGATTTTGAGATTTTGCAAAGCAGAAGAAGAAAGAAAAACGGTGAAGAGGAGATAAAAATTGATTGAATTTGGAAATGAGATTCACAGAAATAGAAAGGGATGGAGTATAGTACTTGACATAGCTCAACCCAGTTGGGGTTTAGCTTGGGGGGATTTTTAGGGTTTTCCAAGTGACTCGCCATCTCCCCTCTTCCTTCCATCGTCAACGCCATCTCCCCTCTTCCTTCCTTTGTCACAGAATAGATGTATGAAATCGCGAATTCCATGCCTTCCTTCTTCGCCAATTTGCTTGCAACGAAGAAAGGAAACTTTCCTCAAAATTTCCTTCGTTGCATGAAAAAGGCCGAACAGATGGACGCTCCAATAAAATGACTTGGATTGCTGATGTGTCATTAAATTAAACCTCTTTTAAGTGACACATGTCATAATTCTAATCAATCAACTCTCAAATTTTATATTAAAGAATATATATATATATATATATATATATATATATATATATATATATATATATATATATATATATATATATATGCTTTACTCCATTTCAATATTCTACACCATTAAATGTTCTAAATGTGTGACCCTCTTCTAGGTTACCCATAACATTGGCGTATTAAAAATACTACAAGTGATAAGCGGTATCTAGAAACACAAGGACATGTCACCTTGCTAAAGCCAAATCGTTCGTTTACTGATTATCCTAATTGCCTTATGGGATTTAAATAACATTAATATCAAATATATTAATTTTTGTAGTTATGGTCATACACTTTGCAAGTCACATCAATCAGTGGGCCAAAGATATTATACTTCAATTAAAGAATGGATAAATTCTATCTACGTTATTCACATCCTCGCTTAAGTATTACTACATGCCTAAAGCACAACTATACATCCACAACTATAAATGGTCGGATGAAAATACTATTATGCTTGCCTACGTATAGATTCAGATAACACTTTATCCATAGCCTATGAGACCCAACTATCTCATCTCATACGTATTAGTCTTAATATATTATGATGTTCGTATTGTCAAAATATTCGACTAAGGATATTTTAGATCTAGTCTCTATATTTGTAACAACCTCATAATTAGAATGTCGTAGTTCTCGTCTAGGTTACTTGAGCACTAATCTATTGACTAAAGCTATGTTTAAAATACATGAGACAATTTAAACAATCTTTACGGCCTATATTCTTGAAATAATCCAGATATAAATTATAAGTAAGCCTCTAGGACTTACATATATTCAACAAAAGTTTGGCGAATATTGGGAACTCCCCTCACAATCAGCTACTGTCTCCATGTGCTCAGTAGAACAAGGTGTGGAGAAATCACCCATACACGGTATCATCAAGGTCACAGAGGTCTTGAACTAGCGCGGAAGGTGGGGAACATCGTGCACCACATCTCTCAATGCACGCGAGAAAACCGATCCATGCACCACTACAAAATTGGCTGGATCGGAAATGCTCAGGTAACAAGAAGTAACCTACGAAAATTTAGTAAACAAGATTTAGAAAGAAGCAAACATAAGCATAAGGTGCTAAGGTTATTCTTTCCTTTTAGAGTCTATAATAGGTATTTTAGTGCTAAGGTGCAGTAGTATTTTGGCATGATTACATAATCCTTTTTATTAGACTAACTATCTTAGTTACGTTATCTAGATAGTGTTTGAAGGAACGTCAATTTCGTGATCATATCACCTTTTGCTTTCTTATTATGTAACTTTAGCATTAATATTACTTAATCTTTATCAAGTGTGTTTATTATTTTCATGGTAAGATTTAATTTCGAAAATTTAAAGAAAAAGGGTACTTAGCTATAAACTTTATAAAGATATCCTTATATTTCTAATTAAGTGTTTATCACTTGATTCATAATTTTGTGATAAACTTATTAACTATTCATTATTTTTACTTTATATAGCCTTTGTATGATTGTTGTATTATGGTATGCTTATGAGGTAAAATATTTGATCATATGAAATACTTCTATAAATCGAGCAACAACTTGTCTTTTATTGAAATGAACAAAGTACTTAGAACAATAAATAAACTTTAATTTAAAATTGAAAATTGATCAAATACTAAACTTAAATTAATGCATCATTAAGTTGCAACCCTTGCATCTTCAAGATCAACACTCCTACTTCTTCTCTTCAAGTCATGCAACAATTTGCAATATTATAAGTATCGAATACTTTTGAAAATATTGTAGATTAGTTTAAGGCTTTACAACAATTGTGCCTGAATCAGAAGCTTCACCCTTTTTCTTGGTTGCCAAATACTGTTTGCAATTTCTCTTCCAGTGGCCAACATCGCCACAGCGATGACAAATGGAATCTTTGGCCACTCCGCCTTTAGTCTTTAGCCTAAAAGAAGTGGACTTTGGCTTGGTATTGCCCTTGCCTTTACCTCCATTCTTCTTTGTCTTCTTGAACTTCTTCCTGCTTTCCCCCCTTGAACTAGGACATAACTCCCCTTCCTTTGGTGAAGCTCTCTTCAGCAGTTTGCAGCATCTTCAAAAGTTCTCGTAGTGGTTTATCGAGTTCATGTATCTCATAATTAACCACAAACTGCTTGTACAACTCTAGCAATGATTGCAGAGTCAGATCAGTTGCAAGTTCAGTCCTTAGTGCGAAACCCAATTTTTCAAGAGTCCAAACATAGCCAATCATCTTGAGAACATGCGGACCAACGGGGCTTCCAACAGACAACTTGCAACTAAAGAAAGCTTTAGAGATTTGGAATCTCTCATGGCTAGCTTGTCTTTGGTAGAGTTGTCTTGGGTGTAAGATCATATCGTACGCCTTCATACTCTCGGGATGTTTCTGAAGGTCAGAAGTCATCGTAGCCAATATGAAACATGCCACGTGAATGTCACCATCAACATGCTTTTCGTAAACATCTTTAGTTGCTCTGGGAGCGTTGGCGGCCGGGGTTGGTGGAATGGCTCGTTCGAGCACGTACTCTTTGTCAAAAAACAATAACGAGGTTTTTTTACCAGTGTAAGGAGTTAGAGCCAGTCAACTTGTCTTTGTCAACTTGTCTTTGTCGAGGATTGAGCGAAGAGTGAGAATATGGTTGTGGCATGGTTAGAGAAACGTGACATGATTGTGGCCTCTTAGAGAAACTAACAATAAAGTCTTCAATTGAGATCTCTATCTCCAACTTCACCTTCTTTCTTTAAAAATGTTTCAGCCTTCAAGTTCAACCCATCTTGCTAATGTCCTCTTCTTAGCTCCTTCATCTTTCTTGCTTCTTCATGGACTTCTTTGTTTAATCAAGAGAAAAGAATCCTTGCTTTGTAAACAAGGGGTATGAGGCTTAAGAAGAGATTTACAACCAAAATATAGAGATGAGGCACGACACGCAGACGCAGGCCGTATTTAAAAACCACACATTCTAAGCCACAACCATGCACCATGCAAACATTCATACATCACATGCAAAAAATCCATAAATCAGGCAAGCCGCGCTCGTCCAAGACCTAGTTTATTCTATGAAAAATAAATAACAAGCCTAAAAATTATCAAATAATTTTATTTAAGTTTTATTTTAAACCCAGGATATCCAAAATCTCATTTTGAATTTTCCTGAATTTTGAAATAATTATTTACCATAAATTTAGGTATTAATTTTGAAATTTGGATTTTAATTCTAAATAAATACTAATACCTTTTGAAAATTAATAAATAAATTCCATAATGTGCATTCTAATTTTATTTGTCTGGAAATTTCCACAGTTCAGAAAATTTAGTTACAAAATTCTTTTTTTCAATAGCCTTAATTCGAACTTAATTTTATAAAAATTAATTTCAAATTTCCAAAAATTTATACTCCAAAATATTTATTTTAGGTCATTATCGTCCTGAAAATCAAATTTCCAGATTTAAATTAATTTTCTTTTGGATATTTTGGAATTTGTTTCCAAAAGAAATAAATTTATTTCCTAAATTAATTAAGAATGTTCCTAATATTCAAAAAATTAATATTTTTCAAAAATAAGATTTTTGACTCATATACAATCTGAAAAGCAATCTTCCACATTTTTCTTAAAGTTTATTTTCGGAACTTTCTATTTATAATTTGGTAATTCAAAAAACAATTTCTAAAATTATTTTTCGTACATCATGATTTAAAATTAATTATGTAATTTTGGGAATTAACTATTCAATAACCAAAAATTGTATTTCCCAAAAATTAATAATACAATACTCAAATCATGGATTTTATTTCGAAAAACTTTTATACAGTCTGAAAATCATATTTTCAAATTCATAAAATTACAATTCCAAAATTTAATTGTGTTATTTGATTTAATCTTTATTAATACCGAATTAGGTGATTTTAAATCCGAAAAATAGAAAATAAAATCGAAAAATTTATTTTATTTTTCCAGAATACTTAAACTCATAATTCAACATCCAAAAATGATTAAAACTATTTTCAATAATTTATTTTGTATATATCTTGTAATTAATCAAATTAACTACAAATCAAACAATACCTTATAAATTAGGAAATAAATTGCAAAAATTTGTTTTAAATTTCCAGAGCTCTTAAAATAATATTTTAAAGTCTCATATTTAATAAAATTTGATTTTCGGATTTTCAACGGTTTTTTAGTTGGTTAAACCGTTTTAACCTATCAATTCTGAAAATAATATAAATCCAAATTTAATTTAAACATCATATTTTCAAATTTTATAAAGTCCAGAATCATATTTTGGCACTTTCTTGAATTTTGGATAAAAATATATACACATATATTTTATTTTATTAATTAACAAAAATCCTAACGGCAATTTGATCTACAAAACTTATAATTTTCATAAGTCGGCTCCAATGCCACTGTTGGGTTCTACGCTTGGATAGGGCAGCGGAAATATAAAATATTTTTCCAAATGTATATCCACCTAAGACCTCTTATGATCATTATAAGTTATTGTTAAGGAATTATACCTTTCTTGGCGAACAAGTAACACTGTGTAGACTGGAGAGATTGGTCCAAGAGCTAGCTACAAAAGAATATGACCTCTAGTTGAGACACACGAACTACAAAGAGCATTCTAGAGAAAATTATGCTAGTAATTTTTCCCTAAAATATTTTAATAATATAAAATATTTTGGGGTAAAGTACTAAGAGTACAAAAAAAAATTGTCTCTTAATAAAAGGAGGGAGTGCCTAAAATCCAGAGACAAAAAAGATGAGATGATCTCTTATTTATAAGGAGCATAATCCTCATTCATACTCTTAATGGGAATGTACCTTTTAGTGTGTAGGAAAGAAATCAAATCTCATTCCTACTTTACTTTGTTAATTTTGAAACACCTCATTAAGGAACCTTCCAATTTATTTTGTCAACTTTAATCATCATATAATTAACACAAAATACATTATATAACATAGCTTATGTATCCGAAATATATTTACGCCGAAACTTCCGGCAACGGTTACTCCCAACTCTGGCGACCTCTCACCAAATTGACAAGAAAATGAACTCTCCACTCTAACTTTGGAAATATTGGTGAAGAAATGGGAACAAGAGATCTTCCTTATATAGTTGTGAAGAGGAAGAAGGTGCCAAGCCGATTGAAGATTCACACGGCTTTTACCTGATTGGGACTAATTTTGGTCCCAATAGGGGTACACTTTTTGGTCCAATTTTCTCCAAATTGAAATCTGTTTGCACCGTTGCAATCGAACAGTTAAACTCTATCAAACGATATAATTTTTATATTTATTTGGAACACTTTTTCGGATATCATATTTTTGGGTGTTTGACTTTGACAGAGTCAAAATTGATTTAATTGACCTTTATTCAAAAAGGTTCTCACATTTAATTCATATTAATTGTTCTGGATTTATTTCAATAAATTATTTCAAAGTTCACATCACAAACAAATTCTTCATTTATTCTTAATTTAGGTCTGTACTCTGGTTCCCAATCAAGATTTCACATAAAGTCAACATATTGGATTTACTTCTATGGGATTTACCCAAATTGTGATATTAGATATCAAAACATATTTCATTTCAACCCAAAGCTCAATAATAATTTATTTTAGTCAAAACAATTTGATTAATTGAATAATTATTCATTAATAATTCTAGGATATGTTTTGAGGCGTTACACAACGTGCCAGGCCTGGCCTGTGTCTCAGTATTCCCTTCAAATTCGTCAAAAAGGCATGTGCAGATACTCAAATTATTTCTCCATAATGCTTGGTGCAATGTAACAAGATCACTTATTAGTGGTGGGGCCAATGATAAATAAGTGGGGAACTTATTTTTCCCACTTCCATTCAATGCACATCTCCCATCAAAATGATGGGTTGGTGGGCCCCATTGTTAAAATAAGTAGGAGAGTCCAATTGGCCTTACTTCCTAGTAGTTTCCTCTTGCCATCCATTTTTTAATCAGACCAGAGCCCAATCATTCCTCCTTACTTCGCAGCAGCTTCCTTTTTTTTCGTTGCCTTGTTGTCGTCTGTTGTCGTCTTCTTCGAGTATCTGTCTGTTGACCAGGCTGAGAGACTTGCCAAAATCAGATGATGACCGTCGTTGGTCTTCTTCTGTCGTTGGAATTGGGCAGTCACGCCGCCTAAATCTCCCCCTTATCGCCTAAGTCTCCTCTAAAGCTTTCCGGAAATAGTGAGGCGCCGGAGGAAGGTTGTTGGATGCTGGTTCAGGCTGCTGGTTCGCCGTCGGATGGAACTCGTCACTGACGATTGGTTGTGCCAGTGGCGGAGAGGCGCGAGTCAAGACACGAAATTTGGGTCGCGCACAGCCTCCCTTCGCATCTCTCGCTGGTTTTCGGGCATTTGATTTATCAATGTCGATGTCGGGTTTCAGTGGAACCATTAGCGACCATGAACCTTTGACATCGCGGTTGTGGCGCCATGTCCAACGACAACCAGCAATTACAGATCTCTTAGGAACCACGACAGAATTTAGAAGCCGCAGATCAACGGTAAATACAAGCGGCGAGGCGCAGTGCTGGGCAGCGGAATTCCAGGGGCACAAAATGGTTTTCAGCGACGAGAACTAGAAACTCCAACGATTGCAGCGAGTTTAGTCCTCCAATGTTGCGAATGTAGCTAGGGGCCGCTGCGGGGAGGGCCTCTACCATCCGTTCAGTTGTAGAACACATTTCGTCAAGTGGGTGTTAGGCTCTGTAGTCGTCCATGGCGGTCTTGAGGGATGGCGGGCGACGATGGCGAACTCCGAAATCTGCTTTGATTTGAGCAGGGACCTCCAATTTTGCTTTGGTAACAGCAAACTATTATGTCTTCTTTGATTTACATTGCCAACTGCAGGATGGAGTAATAAACACAGGACATGATTTTTTTGTGGTGATGCCAATGTGGTTATTTAACGGAGGTGGCGAGAATATTTTAGGAGGGGTGGCCACGATCCAATGGCCGCACGGGGGAAGAAAAACGTTGACAGTGGCTACGACGACTTCAGCAACGGCGGCAGACAAATCTGGGATGAATTGGCGACGGCGGACAAATTTGAGTTGCATTTTTTGGCTGAGTTGTGTTCCTTGACTTCTGCCATTGGAAGTGCTTGTGGGATTAGAGTTCTCTTCCTCCACTTTTTTTTTCATTTGAGCCCAAAATATAGGTCTCTCTTGATGAACAAAAATAAAGAAATTGAAAATTCAAGACTTTTTGTTCGGGTCCCACGGGGGCATCAAATCTACCAATTCTTTTGTTGCAGTGAAACCTAGGCGATACAGTGGTATTAGTATTATATATTTAGTTAATACTAATTTTATATGTGACGCATTCTTTTACATGAATAATGATTGTTATCTTCATAAATTTCAGAAAAGTCTTTGTTACTACATTTTATAATGTCACTAAAGTTGTGCTTAATGAAAAATCAAGTGAAGTTTGAGACTTCGGAGACAAGTGCATAATGTTTGATTTTATTTATGGTCTTCCTCTTATTACTAAATTTTTTTTTATAGATTCAAACATACATGTTATTGTCGTGTGGTGAAGATAATTAATTTCAAAGTTGCAACATTTTATCAAGGCAGTCTTGACCAAGGAACGATCCACTTTCACAATAATCACTATTAGAGATCCCAAGTTTGTGAATACTATAAGATAATGCATAAATTCGATATTATTAGAAAAAGATATTAAAGTATCATGCAAAATCACCTAAATGAAATTATTAAAAAAATATTTTCGTATGTAAAAATTTTATTATATCATTTCTCCCTTTTTAAAATCCAGATTAGAAACTACAGTTTATATAACTATTTTTTATATTTACATACCTTTTAAGACAAAAAGCAATCTGTGCGTTATACAATAATGTTTTATTCATTTTTTCATCCGTGAATAAAATTAATAATAGACTAAATACGCTACCTATATTCATGCCACAATAGAATTTATATATATAAAGGTTTAATAAAAATTTGTTATTGTTTGTGGAAATAACAGTATAATAAAGTAGTGAAATTTCGACCCCATTTTATATAGAAAATCAATTGCGTTTAATGAACTAATATATTGGAAATAGTTTAATATGCAAAAATATATATTGGATGTTAATTTAATATTCTTAATATGGAAATAATAAATGCAAAAATATATTAATGGTAATGTTATAAAAAGCATGAAATATGATCTAAAAAATCTAATGTATTACCTTTTATATAAATGAATGTTTTAGTAATAAAAATATGGATATGGAATATTACATACATACGTACGTACGTACGTGCGTGCGTGCGTGCGTGCGTGCGTGCGTGCGTGCGTGCGTGCGTGCGTGCGTGCATGCATGCATGCATGCATGCATACATACATACATACATACATACATGCATCCATGCATACATACATACATCCATGCATGGATGCATGCATACATGCATGCATGAGAGCATGCATGCATGCATGCATGAGAGCATGCATGCATGCATGCATGCATGCATGAGAGCATTATTGTTACCCCAACCATTGGTTACACTAATGGCATTTCTACCCCCCTCCCCCAACCCTCCTTGATTGCTGATTTGAAAACCACTGCGTTTGCAAGGCTGGGGTGGGTGTAGTGGGGTAAGTACAATCAAAATTACACAATGAAGCACCATGGGTGCCCCAATTTTACTGGTGTTGCCATTTGACACCAATAAGACTGGTGTAACATTATCCCTCCATTATGTATGTGTGTGTTTGTGCAAGTAAGAATGATGTAAGAATAAGTACACTCATATATATATATATATATATATATATATATATATATATATATATATAGTAAATTCCATAAAAGGTCCCTAGTTATAGGTCGTTTTACATATTTAGTCCTTACATGTCAAATATTACTAATTTAGTTTCCAATTATTATATCATTTTTCACGAATGGTCCTTTGTTAACGTTTTTGTTAAGAACATGCATAAAATTGTATATTCATACTTCTCTCTCCTCAATTAAGCTTCCTCGCTCCTCTCGTACTCTTTCTCAAACTCGTCGTTGAATTTGAAGCTCTAAACTCAAAACTGAAATGATCGTTCCTCTCTGAATTATTAGTCTTCCTGGTGGAACCTAAAATCAAAACCAATTAGCTTTATGGATGGGTTTTATTGGTTAGTCTCAAGAAATTGCAAAGAAAATAAACATTAAAACTCATCCATGAAGGTTACTGGTTTCGAATTTTGGTTTTGGGTTCAAAGCTTCAAACTCAGTGACGGGTTTGGGAAAGGAGTGCGAGAAGAGCAAGGAAGCTTAATTGAGGAGAGAAAGGAGTGAATTTACAATTTTATCCACGTTCTTAACGGAAATGTAAACAAAGTACCATTCGTGAAAATGATTATAATAATTGGGGACTAAATTAGTAATATTTGATATGTAGGAACTAAATATGTAAAATGACCTATAATTGGGGACCTTTTATGGAATTTATCATATATATAATGAAAATATTCAATGTTACAACACTTCCACAACATTGATATTTCTTACTCGATTTATTTTTATATGAGACCCACCGTTGGATTGAAAAAAAGTAGCATATTGATCATCCTCACGACATTTCATAACAATCACAATCATTTCGTCACAAAATGATACGCCTTTTATTTTCAAGACAAAGGATTATTGAAGGGAAAATGATTTCCTTAGGAAAACTGTATCCACTGGTAAGTGAATGTGTGGAACTATCATTTAAACTAACATGAAAAGAAAAAGTAAAATAAATTTCAAAAGAAGATGCTTGCCTCATTTGCGTCTTTGCAATCCCCATTAATTTTTTTTGGCCATTTAACTCGCCAGCACCTATTCAGCAAACAAGCTTTATGCCAAATTTAAAAAAAAAATAAACTAGGTTGCATTATCATAATATCAAATGCAAGAAAAAAATGCCTTTCTCTTCCTAAGCGGCGTGCAAGTTCTTCAGCAAGGGCCTGGCCAGGTTTATCCCCATCAGTTGCAAGTATAATCCTAGATGCCTAAATTTAGGGAACCATAGCATTCTGGTATCAGCATATTAGTGAAACAATAAATATAACAAAAGAACTGAGAGCTAGCAAACCTTTTCAAATGCCTCCTTGCAGTTCCAAAGATATTGATATTTTGCGTCCTATGCTTACAGAAGAAACAAAACAAGCATTAGATCCAGCACTTGTAGAAAATGTTTCCTAGCGACGCAAACGGAAAGCTGCTTATATCTAAGACAAATGAAAGTGCTTGATTCTGTTCTTATATACAAGAGCTTTGATCATTATTCTATTTATTGATTTTTCCTCATGCAATTACAAATTTGATCGTATTCAAGAGTGAAATTAAAATTTAAAAAAATGTTAATGTAAAGAGACAAAAAGAAATTAATAGAAAAGATCATTGTCGGCGGCACCTTAATCCCAACTATGTTAGGGTTGGTGGGATGAAGCTGTGGACTATCATATATTACTCTCCCTCCAAAAATAAACACACTTTCCTTTTTGGTCCATCCCATTAATATAAGCGCATTTCTTTTTTTGGAAAGGAATATGTGGTCAACATTATTTCTCTCTTTTAAATCAATTCCAACCACACACTTTCCACTTTTCAATACTTTGCATTACAATGGTGTTCCAACCGCCCACAAGATAGCCAAAAAACATGAGAAACTGACAGTAGGAAAGTGATGATAATGTGATTGCATTACAATGGTATATAATGACACAAGACTTGAATGTAACAAATGAGAAGAACACCATATGTGGGAAGCCTAAGTAAGTTGCTAGGAAGGTAGTGTGTGGGGGTGATTGTGCGAATGAGTCGTATAGTACACTAAAGCATCTTAATATTTAAAACTGCTCCTCAACCTATCCTAGTATTTCATCAATTCTCTCAAAGAATGTACAAGTTGTGTCGGATTCCCAGATACTTAAGTCGGGTCGAACCAGATAGTATTATGATAATTGAATTGGATGAGATTGTCATATATTTGAGCAAAACAGAGTTGTTAATATTTATGCTGGGGAAATATTGGGACCTCGCAGGACCAAAAAACTATTTCTGGATGATGCAGATTTTCTAGTAAGAACTCCAAGCTCCTGTTTTTTTAAATAAACCACCAGGGCCTTTAATTTTTTTTGTAAAGCCTATGTGGATACTTTCTGGAGCCAATGTCTAATAACTGGCGCCATCTGTCTAATATTACACATTGGCACCCGAAAGTATCCCCATAGTCTTTACAAAAAAAAGTTAAAGACACCTGGTGGACTTAAAAAATAGAACCTGCATCACCCGAGAGTAATTTTGTTACAGGACTGCCACATATTGAACAGGACCCAAAGTGGACTGTACTCTAATTCTAGGAGTAGGACTGAACTGAACTGCTTTTTAAAGAACCTACTGATATATCCTTCTCTTTGTATTTTAAAAGATACTCCCTCTGTGCTAGAAAACCCTTCATGTTTTGACTTTTTTTGTCAAACTTTGGCACTCTTTAATTACAAATTAGTTATAATTTAAATAAATAAATAAATGTTATAAAAATTTGATATATCAAAACAATATCCTAAAATGAACCCAATTATATTGAATTTACATTATAATTAAATATACATTTTCCACAACTTGTGGTCAAAGAGTGTCACGGCTTGACCAAAAAAAGTTAAAACATGAAAGTTTTTCGAGGTAGTATAAAATTCAAACAGACTCAAAGGCATTAGATTTGTGGAGAGTGACAAAATGACAAGGGAACAAAACAATTTTGAAACAGTCAACAATGACAGTAAACAACGAGGGCACATGGAAAAGATGATGGAGTATGATGGAGGCACAAGGCAGCCACTAATTACACCAAATAAAGTGTTATTCAAATAGTTTAAGAGATAGGAGACGGTGGGTGGTTGTTGTGTCATCAACATAAGTATAGATCGTTGTAGATCTGAGAGACAAAATCTGACCCTGAAAAAAAATTAGGCCTTTGGCGGCGCTTGAGAGGAGATGCAGTGGTGGTTTTTCTGGTTTAAGTTTGCAGCAAGGAGATAGATCTGGTGGTGGGTTTACGCCTTTACGGATGACTCACCACAACTAGTAAAAGGTGCTCGTCACAAAAGTTACACTCTCAACGCCTGAAATAGGGATAGTTTAGGCCAGAAAATAGATGGGTCGGACACTGAGAAATATTTTGATATGTTATGATATTACGAGGCTATGGGTGGCAGCATAGATATCGGAAGTAATATATGAAACTAATCATAGGAAAGTGATAGTAATACGATTCTATTACAATGGTTTAGGTGACTTCACTGTGACAAATTAGAACTTGAGAAGCCATTATATAGGTGGAAATGAGACAAAAGGAAGTTACTAGAATGGTGCTAAGGATGTGATGTGTGTGACTGTGTGTGTGTGAATGAGGTGTAACAGACACTAAATGTATATTTGAATTTTATGATACTTCAACAGGAGCTTATAACGTCGAATTCCTGTATAATATAAGTTTCGTAAGTCTTTAAAATTGTCTTATATAAGGTAAACTAAATTTATGCAAAAACAAAACATAGTGGTAATGTTATATGCATGATGTCATTGATGTGCTTCCTATTGCAACCTTCTTATAAAACATGTTAGCACAATTTTACATAGCAATGCCCTTCCTATCAAAACATTAGTACAAATGAATGATGAATGAAATTCCAAAACCATTATCATGTGTTTTTTTCAGTTGCATGGAAATTGCCACAAGGCAGTGAAGTCTTTTGCTTAAAAGAAGTGAAAAGATAAAGAAACAATATGGAGAAGAGATGTAAGAATTAAAATAATGCAACAGAGAAGGAAAAGAAATGGCAGTAAGCAAATTCATGTCACCGAAATAGAGAAAGGCAAGAGAAAGAATGTGCCTGTTCAGCTACAAATAAGCTAGTGACCTGATCCACGGGTGGCAAGTCTTTTGTTGAAACTGAAGGGGGAGCCCCATCAGGGACACTGACACAATTACGGAAGCCAGCTTCTTCCATCGCAAGCTTGTCCATCTCACCCTCAACCTACAATAAGAACGTATGCAATTACACGTAACACAATCCTGGATCACTTCTATAATGAGGAAAGTTTTATAGAGTTTTACAATAATTATGTCACTTGCTCCCATTATATCATCCAATCCATAAAATATTTTTTCAGTATCACTTTCCTGAAATGTTAAAGAGTCACATGAATAAGACATTAGGAAAATAAGAGACAACAGTGATAATAAAAATAATATGAAAAAAATCTACGAAAGGCACATTTATCCCTAAAGTTAGTAGGATATAGTAAAATCAACCATTACTTATTAGGGCTTCAATTTTCACCCTTAAATAGACCTCGCAAAAATTGATCTAACATGTTTACAACCTTAGACTCGACCCGAAAATACTAGGTTTTTAACAAAGATTTTGTTTGCCAGACCCCAAGATGATCGAACCTAAAATGGCCCACAAAAATGGGTCAAACCCAACTAAACCCGTCCTTACCGACCTGCTAAGGTAAGGTTTTTTTCAAAATCATGTGCTTTAATATGATATATAATGCGATAAAAATTTATATTTTTTTCTTTTTTACTACTCCTTTTTAGTGTGTAAACTTATCTTTTCAAACAGGTTTTTAATTATATCAAATTGTTATCTTACTTTCTTTCAAAGAGTGTAAATGTTTAAAATATTTATATTATTTATTGTATTGTTGTATACATCTAAAAGTTAATTGAAAATTCAAATGAAAATATTATAATAGTGTTACTATATACTTTGAAATTTTTATTATTTTGTATGGAAAATGCAACTGATGGCATAAATTTAAGTGTTAAAAAAATAAATGTTCATAACCTGTTCGGCAGAACCCGATGGAACTAAGTCATGAACATGCATTTCTCAACCCGAACGAAAACTTACCCAAACCTAAAAGAAAACTCAAATCTAAAAGAAGAAAACTCTAACCCGACCTGCCAACTCTAGTGATAAATCTAGTTCATAGTTATTAGTTAGTTAAAAGAGCATAACATTGCTTAGACTTTGTCTGTGCTATCAAAAATTCTTTTTTTTTCAATTTTGCCATTTAAAAATGAAAGAGAGACAAATATGACTATATCTTTAACCCTTTCTAAACATATTCTTTTTTTAATGCTAACATTATAGAAATAAATACTCCCTCCGTCTCGCAAAGAAGTTAATGATTTGACTTCATGGACTTCAAGAAGTGTCAAAAAGTAAAAATTTTGTGGTTTACTTTGTTTATAAGAGAGAGAAATGTTGTGGGCCACATATTCCTTTCGTAAGAGGGGGTAATGGAGAGAGTGTAAAGCTTATATGAAAAGAGTACTGATAAGCACCTGCCAAAAGATTTTGTTTACATCCCGGTATTTGCAGCTTACAAGATCACCATTCCTTCTATACGGAAATGCAATAACAATCTGCATCAACAAAATGTTCAAAAGAGATTAAAACAAACTCAATAAAACCCCCGTCTGGGGGTGTGTGTGCAGACCTTACCCCGACCTAAATAGTAGCGAGGTTGTTTCCAAGGCTTGCTTGCTCAAAACCTTGGGAACAATGGATTTAAAAGATTTAAATTAACCCCCCCCCCCCAAAGGAAAGACTACGATGCTTTCATAGGTCATTGATAAATCATTCTATGGATGACAAGAATAATAGTGGTTTAATTGGTTTCACAAAAATACAAAATACTACGGAGTACGTATTTAGTAAGAGCACACCCAATGGTCAGGAAAAAAATCCTTGCCAATCTCTCTCTACACTCTCCCTCTATGTAGCACAGAAACGGAGAAGGGGACGAGGACGGAGACGAGACAAAACGAAGACGCAGAGACGGCTATTTTGAAAAAAATGGAGAGAGGAAACGCCGGGGAGACGGCTATTTTGAAACAGCTAATTTTTTTTAATATATTTTTATTTTTTAAACGACATTTGGTCACTACTAAAAGCCCTATTATATCTCAATCATAAAAGGCCTATTATATTTCAATCATTTAATATACTTTGAACTTAACAAGCCTACTACAATGGTAGTAAACTTTCTAAAAAGCCTATTTCAAAGTATACTTTTAAAATAGAAGACCTATTAGATTTAATGTACTACCTCCGTCCCAGTGTATTTGTCCAGTTTGACTTTTTCGAGTCAAACTAGACAAACTTTGAACTCTAATTACTCTCAATTTATATTGCATATTAGCATAATGAAATGCATTTTTGAAAGTTCTCAATACGATAAATCCAATAAAGTCATTTTTATGTTAAAATACATTACAGTTTTTATTTAATTGAAGCTCAAATTTTGTCCAGTTTGACTCGAAAAAGTCAAACTGGACAAATACACTGAGATAGAGGGAGTACTTACTAGGCCTAATACTTTTTTAATAATCCTAATGTACTTAATAGGCCCAATACGTTTGTACTTAACAAGCCTACTACAATGGTAGTAAACTTTCTAAAAAGCCTATTTCGGAGTATAATTTTAAAATAGAAGACCTGTTAGATTTAATGTACTTAATAGGCCAAATACTCTTTTCATAAACGTAATGTACTTAATAGGCCCAATACTCTCTTAATAAACCCACTCAAAATTATTTGACCTTAATGACTTAAGAGTGTGTGAGGGTTGGCGCAGGAGAGATCTGAAAGCCGCAAAGATGAATCGGCGAGAAAGGGAAACCGGTAAGTCGATCGTCTCCCAATAGTCTCTCTCCCCTTTGTCTTCTTCCGATCTTCTTCTTCTCCTTAATCTTCTCTCAAATTTCTCCTATCTTCTTTGTCTCGTGCATCTTATCGTGTTTCTCTCCCGCATTTCTAAAAAGGGAGACGCGTCTCCTTGGCGTCTCCCTGCCGTTTCCTAGAGCAATTTATATACTTTTAAAAGAGAAACACCAAGTGCCGTCCAGGAGATGTTTCGAGCCGTTTCCCACGTGTTCCGGCGTGTCAAAGGTTTCTGACACGAATACGGCAGCCACTATGGCGTTTCCGTGCAACATAGCTTTCCCTCTCATCCACATAATCATTTTTGTGTGCAAAATTTGTTTCCGATGGTAAGAAAGCATTTTCCCTCTCATCCACCCTCTCACCCCATTGCGGAAATAATTTCCACACAAGTGTAAAGGGACTCACATATTATATACAAAAGCCTCAAACCTCACTGATGGTTCCCAAAAAAATACTGGCGCATGTAAAATTTCCACACCGTTGGGAATGGTCTAAGAGAAGATAATAAATGAAATGCAAATTTGTAGCCCCAAAATCAGAGTTTAGAGACGACCAGCTGTCAAGCAGGGTTTGCATATTGAGTTCTGAGGTGAAATTTCCAAATGATAAAATGGTACTCCCTTCTTTGCAAAGCACGGAGATTAAGAAAAGTAGAAAATGTTGTTGACCAGAGCCTGCCCAAAGGAGGGCCAAGGTACGACCGGCCTGGGCCCATTTTTTGGGGCCAATATTTTTTTAATCTTTTAAATGTATATTATATTTAAAAGAATAAAACCTTAGTTTTTTAAGGTAGCTATTACGATATTTAATTATAACAATATGACTTTGTTATGTTTATTACTATAATGTTAATTGTTGTTTTAAAAAAATTATTTTATATACTTTAATTTGTTAGGGTCAAGGGTCCATTTTTCGTCTCTTCCAGGGCCTTAAATCCTCTCAACCATGGTAGTCAAACTCGCGATCCAGATCGTACGATTGTACGATTCCGCAAATCGCCAGGGGGTTTCCAATCCAACTCGTCCTCAAAATCGCAAAAATCCTTTGAGTCGGAAGAATCGCCAATCTGGATCGTGCAATCGCACAATCGCAGGAAATAGTCAATCGTAAAAAGAAAAGAATCGGAAATTGGAAAATCCTGTTTTGTTGCTTCGATTAATTCGCGACTTTTACAGAGACAGACGCGATTTTATCTAGCCTTCTCCCTTCTAATGCGGCAAAGCCTGCTGCCCTGCGTGTCTCCTCCGCGTCTCAATTTCTGCCCATGTTTTATTTATGATTTTCAATTATATATAAAGAGTGTGGGCTATACTGTAAAAGGCTAATATAGAGTATCTTTTATCTTTCTATGTGTGTGTGTGTGTATAGTAGGATCTTACGATCTGAGTCACGATCTTACGATGTTAGGATCTTCATTAGGCCTATCGATCCTACGTAGAATTCAGTGTTTGACTACCATGCTCTCACCCTATTGTAGACTTTCCAATAGTACCCTTGAGTGAAACATGCTCTAGACAATAAACATAACTCATTTCCGAGTAAATCTAGGTTATTCCGATCGTCCCTTCTCTTAGACTTTGAACCAAGTCTAAAAAATAAAAACTCCCCTAAGATTTCAAACTGAATACATTAATTACAGATATGCTCTACACGATAGGAGTATAAGAATCAATGGTGAAGCATTCAAGAGCCTCATTGCCAACAATTATGGCCTAGAAAGGTACAGAAGCCAAAATTTGTGCAATTCTTAATGGAAAACTAGAAAATTAAAGGATGATAAATTAAAGATTCGATTTTCTAAACTATAAGCTTCACATGTTGAAATAAAACAGGTCAAGTGAACATTTTGGGAGTAAAAGTATTTGCAGGGTAAAAATGTACTATAGGATCCATTTTTTACAAAAGAAAGAGTGAAATACAATGTGAACCAACTAAAGAAAATTGGTGAGCAATTTCCAAGAGCAAAAAACAACTTTCTACAACCAGCCTCTTAATAAAATAAAGCATTAACATAAAAATATAATAGGACGACGAACCTGGTTACGAGCTTTGCACTGCATGACACCATTTCTCCTCAGGGTTTCCCCGGAAATCATTCTCTGGGAAAAGTACGCAAGCAGCTGCAATACAGGAAATTGAATCACCGCATAAGTAGAGCTTGCGAATATTATACACAATGATATAAACTCTTAGGAGACAACGTGCAAAAAAATGTAATCTTGCAACCAAACTTTATCAGATTTGTTTGAGTGGTGCCTTGATGAACACTTTCTCTACTTTATTCCAGAAGAGGTCTAGATAAATATCCAAGGTAATGTGAGGTGATTAATTAGAGAGGGAATAGGGTGACATGCTCAGGGTAGAGAGAGGCCATAACCGAGATGACCAGAGACGGAAGAGAGAAAGATGAGTTTTATTGTTTTTATATTAATTACTCAGTACCATAGAACAGATTAAAGTCAATCGAGAGAGTGGGGATAGAGAAAGACGGGTCGTACTGTTTTATATAAATATTAAGTGCATAGGCATATGCAAGAGACTACTTCAGGCAACAACCAAAAATAAGAGTAGAAGATATTAAAGTAGGCAATTACAAACCAATTATAAATACCTCATTATTTAATGGTTCTAATCCCAAACTTTGCTCGTCTAACCGTCTGATTTTCTTATTTATTTTCATGATCTTATTCTTTTCTCCTTTAGTAGGCTTCATGTCTGCAAATGCCTGCAACCGCATAAAAATCACCAATTTCAAATGACACATGTACAAATTTTTAAGTGATAAAAAATCAGGAATAGACATTCAACCCTTACCAGTGTGCTGCCTCTCCAACCACATTTACCTCTAAAGCAGTTCCATAAAGCTGAATTGCTATAAATCATTGAATTATATATCATCTGTGTACTGTTAACAGAAAGAAAAATATTGTGCAATAATTACAAAATCATACGGCCAATTACCCATTTGGATCAATAAATAGAGATAAGCTTCTCTCCTTAGAGTCCCCTCCATTGCACTGCAGCAAGAGAGCAATGCAAGACCACACAATATACAGAGTGAATCAGAACGTGAAAAATACAAAGCTAGTGCAGAGTACTAAAGGGTTTAAATAGAAAATGAAAAGATCAACACATTCATAATGTATTAGTGTTTCCTGTGTTCAGTGTATTCAGATTTTGCATTTTTCATTATATATATATAAAGTGTTAGGGTTAACACCACCCAATCCAACACAAACTCTCAACACTAAGAAGTAAGAACGCATTTTGTGAATTACTTGTTTTTGTTAAAGTAGTTGAATATATTGAACTTGGTGAAGTGATAGAATCAAATTATTGAGCATGTAAATATCTGAAATATATTGTATACAAATTGGTGAGTGATGCCTGAATATGGACACATACCAAGTGTGCATTAAAAAACACTTATTAATGTATTGATTATGTTTTAAACAATGTATAAAATGTGTATACTCCATAGTTATCACGGCACCAAGTCGAGGCGCGGCGATGGGATATCGCCAGGACTAGGCGACCGCCTAGGCGACACATAATATAGGAGAATTGTTGTACATTTAAAACACTAACATAAATATATCAAATTATGTATTGTAGTTGGTAAAGTTTAAATTTTTCTAATACATCAAAGTTTAACTACCAAAGTTACTTCTAAGTACTTTCCTCAAAAAAACGAAGTTGAAAGTTGGTAATAAACATAGTAGTCAAACTCGCGATCCGGATCATACGATTCTACGATTCCGGAGATCGCCAGAAGGTTTCCGATCCAACTCGCCCTCAAAATCGCAATATTCTTTGGGTCGGAAGAATCGCAGATCTGGATCGAGCACTCGCACAATCGCAGGAGATCGTCGATTTTGAAAACCCTATTTCATCGCTTTGATTTTGTCAGAAATTTGAATCGGGAATTTGAATCAGAAATTTTGTCGCTTCGATTTTGTTGCTTCCTGGCTTCCAATTCCAATCGCGACTATTTATACCTTCTCCAGGTCCATGTTTTATTTACAGAACACAAATACTTACTTACTGAGCACCTGTTCAAGCTCTGCTTCTGCCCTGCGCTTCTCTTTTATTTTTTATAGCTTATCATGTAAATCCCTACTTCAGCAACACCATTTATGTTTTAATTGAAATTTAATTAAAACACACACACACACATATATATATATACACAATCCGAGTCACGATCTTACGATGTTACAATCTTCATTACGCCTATAGATCCTACGTAGAATCTAGAGTTTGACTACCATGGTAACAAACTAATCATTTAAAATATTAAGCACTGAGTATTAATTAGGAAAATAAAGTAGAAAAAAACATTAACTTGCAAATAAACTAATTTATAAAGCATAAAAAAACAAAGCACTGGAGCCGGGGGTACAAAACACTTAAAAAATAAAGCACTAGAGAAAAAAAATTGTTGGACTAGGCAAGGCTAAGGTGATGCCTAGGCGAGGCCAAGGTGATGCCTAGGCGAGGCCAAGGCAACGCCTAGGCAAGGTATGAAAAATAAGGCGAGGCAAGCTCTCATGGAAAGAGTAGAAGAGTGCCTGGACGCCTAGGCGATACCGTGATAACTATGGTATACTCACTCCGTCCCAAAATTAACTTCTCACTTTTCTTTTCTTGTTGTCTCAAAATAAAGTTCCCATTCCATATAAGGAATGAAATGGGTGGTCAACAATAACTCTCTCTCCTCTTCATCAATCTCAACCAAACAATATCACTTTTTTTAAACTTTGTGAAAAAGCAAATGGGAACTTTAATTTAGGACGGAGGGAGTATCTTTTATGGTTCAACATTACTCTAGAAAGTAACTAGTAGCACTAGATCGTTTGTGATAAGTGTTTTAAATGGCATATCCAATAAGCACGTTAAAAGAAATACAACAAACCAATACAACAAAAAATTTTGGATTGTGTTTCTCATAAAGTTCTAGGGTGCCCCACTATAACCATATTATAGTGATACCATGCTATCAATAAATATTCAACCCAACTCCCACTCAAAAGTGTTATGAAGGGGTAAATTTACATCATACTCTATCCATCCCACTGTATTCATCCAATTTGACTTTTTCAGTAAAATTGGACGATAACTAATAGAATAATGTTTTGTAGAAGAAGGAAAATACTTCTTTGATTCACAAAGGCAATTGAAGCATAGGTGTAGCCTAGGCCGGGCCTATTGGTGTACGATGTGGGTTTCTATTGGGCTTTTTTGGACTCGTAGTGGTGGTGCAACATCTTGTGTTTTGGGCATGGGCCAATATCCCCACACAAAGTATTAAGATTTCAAATCCATGTCTATAGACATTTAGTTTTTTATTTTCGTAGTTTTGTACAATATCTATCACTAAATAAAGTTGCTCATAATGGATGCTGCAGAACTGCCATTGAGAACTCTCCACATACTATCTATGCATCCTCAAGTAGAAGCCTTCACTCTTTGAAAACTGAAGCACGAACCTAGATACCATAGTAGGGTACATTTCTAAATTCTATTCAGGCAAATCTAAGGATACATCAGTACATTGAATTGATATGCCCTTGTCACCGAGGAATACACTTATACACCAATGTTGCAATTGTAGCAAGACATGTTTGTATTTAGTAAACCATAATGCAACTTGAAGATAAGCTATCATCCATCCACATGAAAATGGCATGTCTGAGTCCAGCAAATTTTTAAGACACACTCTTGGTGGCCTTATTAAGCACTTGGCACCAACCGCACCACATAATAGATACTTACACGGGAAATGTAAAAAAAACATAAACAACCACACTCAAATACCAACAAATGATTGTGGTTAATTTCCTGGATACATAATTTCACCTATAATAACCAAACACATAGGGAGAAAGAATAATTCTATATGTACATATTGAATCTAATGGAATGGCCTAATAATAGAGGCAATACTAATGAAATGGCCTAATAACAAAGATAGTGCTAGTATAAAGGCATTACCATTGGACAAATCAATCCAGTGTACTGCCCGGGGACACATGAACCACAGTCTATTCCGATCTCCTTAAGTTTACTGCTCAACAAGTTCAACCGCAAGGACTTCAGTTGGTGGTCATCCTCCAGTGAAACTGAAAGGGCCAACCAATAGCAACTCAAAATAACAATTCATTAAAAACTACTAACCCTTTACACAAATTTCAATCTTGAACTTTAACAATAACCTGGCGGGGAAGTGGGGAAGGTATAGGCCATGTGGGACAGACGGGAGGCCTGGCAAATGGGAGAGATGCGTTTAGATGGAAATGTGGAGACGATTAGCCGGTGGCTATGAGTGTGGAGAACGCGGCAAGGAGCTGATGGAGCTATGGAATTTGAAACAGATTTTGGCGCGACACTGCAAGGAGTTATGAGGGAAGTATGAACCAGGTTCTTGGAAGACGCCATTGTCATTAGAAGATTGTTCAATTTACAGGTACGGCTACTGAAACTGCGCAAGAAAAACCCTCCGGGATGATTAAGGGGAAGCATATCAGAAATATAATAAGTTAATCCTCTTCTTTCTAGCCTTCAGGGAGATGTTCAAAGACCAGGGCATACGCGAAAATGATTTTGGACATCTTCTGATCCCTGAAAAGGGTTTATCTAGGGCTTAATAGCGAGGATTACTTGTATGGCGTGGACAGGGTACAGTCCTGTAGGGTTCAAGAGAACTAAAAGGAACGAGGGTGGCAGGCAGCATGGTTCGGGTCTGGTTCCCGTCCGGTTCTAGATACCGATTTTGGCATTTTTTTAAAAAATTACGGAGTGTGTTTTATGTTGTGTTTGGTTTTTTTTTGGGGGGGAGAGGAATTATTTAGTTTTAAACCAAAAAAATTTAAATACTAAAATTTAAATTTCATTTTCCAAATTTCAATTTTAAAATTTTAAATTTAAAAATCTTAATTTTTGATTTTTTATTTTTAATTTTAAAATCATAATTTTCAGTTTTTAAACCTTAAGCTTTAAATTTTAATATTGTACTCCCTCTGTCCAAAAATATTCTTCCCGCTTACTATTCACAGATTTAAACTGTAATCACTTTGTTGGTCTTTTTTTTATATTAATTTGATAAAATAATATAGTTATGTCATCTCTAGTTTTCTAGATCTTTTAATGTATTTTTTAAATATGTCATTTCTATTTTTTTTTATTTCACACCATTTTTCATATAAAATTATTTGAAAATAATTTCAGTTAATCATCATAACGCGCAATGGGAAGATTATTGTTCGGAGGGAGTAATTTTATTTTATTTTAAATTTTTAAGCTTTTTTAATTTTCTACATTTTAATTCTTAGTTTTAATTCTTAATTAAAAAATTTAAATTTTAAATTTTAAAATCTTTAAGACCCAAAATCCATTAGACACGTTTCATTGTTATGACCCGAAAAGAATTCACTTGATTTCAGGAGGGTGTATTCAATTGGGATTGTATTGAATTTTTTTTTATTTTAATAAGTTTGTGGATTTAAAAAATCCATGGTGTCCTTGTAGAGTTTGGCCGACTTTTTATTTGATTTACAAGGATTTTAAAAGAATTCTATTTGTTTTAAAAGAATTCGATTTGTTCAAAAAAGTCTGCGAGAATCAATACCGCAACAACACACATACATTGAGAATGAGTTGGAAGCATTTGGAGGATAAAAGAAGCCTCCTTGAGTATTTTTGAAATGTCCTTTTCAACAGTTTTCTTCATGGAAGTCATTGTGACATTTCATCAAACAATTTGTGTCCCTTCTCACGTAGTGAGGCAAAGGAATGACAGGGATGAATTTTGGTGGTCGTCAGCTACATCTCTTCCCATACAATATAAGCAATATACAATGATTCAGACATCTGAGAATGGAATCGAACCAAGATCCAACAATATTCTCTTCTTCTTCTTCTGATAAAACTGATGATTTGTTTTTTAAATCAAAGATAAAGGGAAGATCCAATGAGGGGTCAAAGATTTTGTTGTACCGCTATGGCTTCTGTGCAAGTTAAGGAGCATTTTCTCTGTTTCCCTATATTATACAATAATGGCTTGAAGCTTTCCTTTGAAGCTGAAGATTCAGAAAGTAGACAAAAGCACAGAAAATAATGAATTAATTTATGTGTAAGTATATAAATGGTGGGAGGGATGAAAACTCGAAAGAGAAAAAAAAGAAAGGGGTTGCTTGTACGATAGCAGTGCCTTTTAAACCAGTCCATAGAAATCTCCCATTTGAGAAGTGATTTCAACTAAGCATATCTTGGGACAGAATCCAACACAATCTATAGAGTATTAAAACTCATTAACTATTGAATATATAAAGATTTTTTAAGACTTTTTAAAATTTTTATTGGATACCTTAGAATTTTTAAAGATTTTTTTAAAATTCGGATTGAATGCCCTCAGATTTTAAAAGTCTTAAAAAATCTTACAGACTTCTAATTGAATACACCCCCCTCAGTTTGACTAAAAGAATTCGAATTGTTGATTTCAAAGTCTTTTCATATGTTAGAGAATTTAAAATCTGGAATTGGTAAGTTTAGAATTTTAGTTTGTAAATATTAATAAAAGAAACAATTTTTAAGAAAATAGTTTCCTTCCTACTAAACAACAAACAATATGTTTGGAAAAATAATCTCCCTTGAAAATCATTTTCCTTTGTATTTTACTTTTTATTAATGTAACATTTATTATTAAAATATTATTATTACCTTTTATATGAGAATAAAAACAATTACAGAAGTATATTATTATTCATAAGAATATATGTGTGTTTTAAGTTAGGATTTATTATAGAAATAATAATAATATATTATTATTATTCTATTATTAGACAAAAAAATATAACGAAAATATTATATTATTATTATTACCTTTTATATGAAAATAAAAACAATTACGAAAGTATATTATTATTCATAAGAATATATGTGTGTTTTAATTTAGGATTTATTATAGAAATAATAATACATTATTCTTATTCTATTATTTAACAAAAATATAACAAAAATATCATATTATTATCTTTTATATAAGAATAAATACAATTACAGAAATATATTATTATTCATGAAAATATATGCACATTTTGATGCAAGATTTATGATAGAAATAATAATAAGACAAAGTTTCATGAATAGAAATCTGGTAATATAATGTCAAATTAGTATATAATGGATTATATTCATGAATAGAGATCTCAAATTAGTATATAATGTAATATAGAGATTTCATTTTTTTAAGTTACAAAAGTTAAATGATTTACAATATTTGAAAGACTACTTTATAATTCACATTACTCGAATAAATTTGTGAAAATATTGTCTTCGTTGCGTATTAGAATATTCAAGTAATTATGATTTATTACTCTTGAAACTACAACATACATTTGTCCATGACTAAAATATAAATAACATTAATCAAAACTCCGGTTAAAAAATTTGTTCAGAGTTAATTGTATTTTTTTTCATTTTGTCAAATTGCTAATAAAGTGGAGATCTATATACTCCATAAAAAGAAAGGAGCATTTACAAAAAGAAACTAAAAAAATTTGCAGTGATTCGTTTTTACAAAAAGCAATGCTTGTAGTGTCTTTGTTTTATGTCTTTTTTTGTTGGCATTTTACTCATTTTTTATTGACAATGAAAACAGTATTTTTTTCATTCAGTAAAATAAACAATTATCATACACTCGTTAGACCTTTAGATATTTGTGTAATCGAGACTCGTTCTAAAATATAAAAAAATACTCGTTAGACATATAAATGTTTGTGTCCAATTTTTTTAATGATAGGTTTCACCATTTGTATCACCGGAATTTGAGGCGGTGATACAACTTTGTTGAGACCATCGATCACCAGATAAAGATTATCAGTCCACAATGTACAATGTAGCCAATTTCCCCTAAATATTAAAAAATAAAAATAAAACATTCATGATTATCAAAGTACAATGATTCATACATCATATTCATAATTTATGATTCCATTTAAATACATTATAAAGAGACTTTTATCCCGATAATTTTCTCATTTAACGATAAAAGTGAACTTTTATAGAGAACTTCCATTTTTTGTTATTTTATTCATTTCTTTTCATATTATCAAAAATAGGTAATGTTTTGGAAATTTTATTCCAAGTACATTTCATTACCCGTGGAATAAAATAAAAAATTCCAGTGTACGTTATTATTTTTTACACTTAGATCAAAATGGTAATAACTAATAAGTATTAATTTTAAACTTGAAAAAAAATGGTAATAAATATTTTAAATAAATTTTTAAGTAAATGGAAATTTTAAACTTAAAAATGGTAATAAGTTTTAAATAAATATGGAAATTTTTTTAATGCTCATACGAAAACAGTAATTTTTTAATAAAAATAGAAACATATTCCCCTTTACCATATAATTATTAATTAATAGATTCCAAAATTACCATAGCAACACTTACCCTTAACAGGCATAGCATTTAAATATAAACAGAAACATATTCACCTTTTCGAATTACTGTGTTTGGTGTTATTAAAAATAAAGCATATTAATGTATTTAAATAAAAATAAAAACATTTTTAATGCTCATACCAAAACATATTTTTTTAATAAAAATAGACACATATTCCCACTTATCACTTACCATTAATTGGCATAACATTTAAATAAAAATCGAAACATATTTCCCTTTCCACCTTACTGTTTCGTTGTTATTAAACTTTTACCGCTCTTAGTTTCAACATCAATAGTTCTGACCTCTCATCAACATTTTTTAAAGCGCTTTGCAATCTTATAACTTACCTTTTTTAATTATTTCCAATTTTCAATACGTTAATTATTATAAATATAATAATTATAACTTTACAATTTTGGCCACTTACCATATAAATTCACAATTATTAACTTACTTTTTGGCCATTTTAACTAACTTTTATATAATTATTATAAACATAATAATTATAATAATTATAACTATAATTTTAGCCACTTACCGTTTTAACTTCACAATTACCAGTTGTAATTATATTACTCACGTTAATTGTTATAAAAATAATAGCTATATTAACTTCACACTTACACAAAAAAAGGTTAAAAATGTCAGTTACTTATTTTTAGCATATAATACGTTGATTCCATTTTTATTAAAAACTTATGCTTTACAATTTTATAACTTACCCTTTTTAATTATTTCCAATTTTTAATACGTTAATTATTATAAATATAATAATTATAACTTTACCATTTTGGCCACTTACCATTATAAATTCACAATAATTAACTTACCTTTCCGCAATTTTAACTTACCTTTAATTATTATGGTTAATACCGTGTGATAAAAAAGGAACTGTATTTGTAGCTTTTAAAACATTTTTTAGATTAATAATAATAATTATTTTTTTGATTAATAACATCACGTTCACAAAGACATTGTGTGTAAAAACCACTTACATAAGCCTATCACTACGCCATGTATGATTGAACTTACCATTTTAATAACATCATTTTATTTTTTTAGTTCAATCACGTTCTCCATACTTTATAGTAATTACTACTATAATTAAGGCCATTTACCATTTTAAGTTCACAATTGCCATTTGTAATTGTCATAACGCATGGGTGGAAAACCATATGTTGACTCCATGTGT